AGACCGGGTCCGGGAGGCCGCCAGTTGTTGGATGCAGGAGCTTGGCACTGCGGCGGCCTCCCGACCACCCTCTTCGCCAGCTGGAGCCACCGCCGGGACTGCCAGCGGACGGGAGCATGTCAGCTGATGTCGGAGCCGGCGCCAAGACGTTGTCAGCTGTCCGGTGCCGAAGACGCTGACGAGGGAATCCCCGCGGCCCATGGTGCGGGGCAGGAATGGGTGGCACAGTGCTGTGGGAGGCGGCGGACCAAGGGGAGAGGCAGTGATGCCTTGGTGAGGGGGAAGGGCCACCTGGCATCAGCCACCTGGCTCCTGGAAGCCCAGATCGTGGTGCTTGAATGGATGCCGAAAGCCTACCTCGGCCCTGCTCCGGCAGACCATTCGATACATGTCTGTGGTGAGGCAACGAGGCGAGGACCCAAATGGCCGCTTATGTGTTCTGCACGCCGGATGTTGGCTTGCAGACTGGGGGGTGGGGCTCTGAAGCAGAGAAGCTATGTAAAGCACTGGGAGCAGTTCACTCCCAGCGCTGACTTTTCTCCTGTACAGAATAAACTGTCTGTCAGTCGTACCTTGCCTGCTGAATTTTTCCTGCGCACCGAGAAGGACGTCTTGACAGTAAGTCAGTGCTCAACTTTCTTGTTCATCTTTTCCAATTCCTGTGCTGTTTAGGGAATGGCAGAGGGAACACAAGGGACTGCCCCGGCGGCAGAGGAGGTTAAGCCAGCCGGAGCTGCAGCACCAACACCTACTGCAGAGCCAGGGGATGCCCAGCCATCGGTAAGGCCCAAGCAGCAGGACCCACAGCCTGCAGCCGTGGTGAGTGAATCCCAGGAGTCATCTGGACTATTGTAGACTTTTTCTCCAAGCAGGCACACTTTGCTCTATGTAAAGGGTTGCCGTCTACCCAGAGGCTGGCCAGGCTGTTCATTACACACATCTACCGCCTGCATAGAGTACCCCGATGGATCATTTTGGACCGGGGGGTGCAATTCACGGCTCGCTTCTGGTGCGAGTTTGTCCGGTTCATCGGGTTGTCCCAGGGTCTCAGCTCGGTGTACCATCCCAGTACCAACGGGGCAACAGAACGGGCAAACGCCATGGTGGAACGCTATTTGCGAAGCTATGTGTCCTACCAGCAAACAGACTGGGTGGACCAGTTGGCATTCACTGAGGTGGCCTATAATAATGCGGTGCATAGTAGCACCGGGTTTACTCCCTTTTGGATGGTGCATGGAAGAGACTTTGTCCTCATACCCGAGTACAACCAAGGGGATCCCTTGCCCTGCCAACCCAGGGAGTGGATGACGCACATGGGGAGTGTGTGGAGTGCGGTTAAGGAGGCCCTGGTGAAAATCGGGGAAGCCACACAGGTGCAGGCACACAAAGGAGGGAGGGGGGACTCAACGCCAGACCACCACCTCCCATTTGCTCACCTCGCTGGCCGGGACCGCTGCCAGGACTCACCACACCGAGACTGGGTCCGGGAGGCTGCCAGCTGTTGAGTACAGGAGCTCGGCGCCACCGCAGCCTCCCAACCACCCTATTCGCCGGCTGGAGCCACCACTGGGACTGCCAGCAGACGGGAGCACGTCAGCTGACGTCGGGGCCAGCGCCAGGACACCGTCAGCTGTCCGGCGCCGAAGACACTGAGGGGAATCCCTGCGGCAGGTGCGATATCGGGGCCAGCACTGGGACGCTGTCAGCTGTCCAGCGCCAAAGACGCTGACAAGGGGAGAGGCGATTCCTCAGCGAGGGGGAAGGGCCCCCTGGCAGCCACCTGGCTCCTGGAAGCCCGGATTGCGGTGCTTGAATGGACACCAAAAACCTATCTGGGCCCTGCTCCAGCAGGCCATCCGATACGCATCTGTGGCGAAGGAAGGAGGCGAGGACCCGAATGGCCGTTTATGTGCTCTGTACGCCGGATGCTGGCTTGCAGACTGGGGGGGTGGGGCTCTGAAGCAGAGAAGCTATATAAAGCGCTGGGAGCACTTCACTCCCAGCGCTGACTTTTCTCCTGTACGGAATAAACCGTCTGTCAATCGTACCTTGCCTGCTGAATTTTTCCTGCGCACCGAGGACGTCCTGACAGTTGGGTTGACAAGGCTGGGTGGGCATAGGGACTGGGTGCAGCTAACTCCATGCCGCTCACTCAGTGCGGCCAGGTGGGCAGGGACGAGTGGGTGTGGCTGGGTAGGGCACATGTGGCTGGGTCGGCGCAGAACATGTCACACCGGCTATTTAAGCACAAATCATCATGCATGTGTACACATATCCACATAAAAAATTTTTTACTAATGGGTTCCTATTACCCATTTATTTTCTCTCCCCATTAATGTCTGTAAATATCTTGCAATAGGCATTAGGATATGATTAACTCTAAACCCCTAGCCACTGACTTGTGCTGCATAACACGAGTATGTTACCTAATGTCCCTCCTTCACTTACATGGCTAAATGATAAAAATAAAATCTGCAACTTTGGACTGGAATAATTGAATTAACTGTTCCTTCCCCTTATTTTAGAAGTAGATGTTCCCTATAATACTGAATCTGAGTGCTTTAAGCTGTGAGGGTTCTATCATTGGGAAAAATCATTCTTGAAAATTAATCTGAATGCACATATATATGAAAATTTGAATATGTATGCAAATAGATGTATAAAAAGAGCAGTTAGGCCAAAGTTGAAATTCTGAAGTGGATGTGACTAGTGAAGACGGTAAGAATGTATAATCTAAATAATTCTGGATCTTACATGTTTGTATCAATAGCATTATTTAAATAGCTTCTTCTAGGGTATCTTCCAAACTAATAATATATTTCAGTGAAATATTTTGTAGGATTCATTTAGTAAATATTTTCTGTTTTGAAGAATACACCGTCTCTACTTATTCTGGACAGTGTAATAGGTTACTATAATATTAATAACATATTCAAGGGGGAAGCTGTCGCAAGTCAGTGCTACAGCATTTGGATAACAGACTTTTCATTTAAGAGTCCAGAAATAAAAACACTTAGAGAATTCACAGCTTAATCTTGTCTTTATATTCTTTTTCTGATGAGTTAGGTTTTGTTTTTTTTTTAAAAAAAAAACACTTATCATGACCCTAGCTCAAGTGAACACTAGTATATAAGCTACACATCACCAAAACATATTCACAAAAATTCCAAAGCACTCACAAGATATAGAAACAAAAGAACAAAGAGCAGTGTTACAAATAAGACCATATATTTGCTTGCTAATCACCTGTGTATGAATTTTTTGCATTTCCTGCAGTTGCAATAAACATATATTGATCTTTGAGGTGCTTATTTTCAAACAGGAACAAGTTATTAGAGACATTGCCATGATTCATTTTTACCAGATTTTGAAGTAGCATCCTATTCCTTTGTGTTATGAAAAATATGATTTGACAATTACACTTTTAGAGTGAAGATATTAAAAAGGTTTACTGTTATATTCTGTTGTGTGGATTAGCAGCAATTTCCTTTTTCCCTTAGTCAAATTAGCCAAACCAATAGACAGGGATTGTCAGGGCTACACTTTTAAAAATAACTGAGGAACAAATGAGATGTTTGTAACCCTCTTTGTAGTGAATGTTTACTTAAAAGCATGCAAAATAAATGTGAATCTTTTGATCAAAAAGTTTTAGTTTCTACAATCCATCTTCATGGTTTTTCAGTTTTATTTTTCTGATGCAGCTTCTCATAGCCATAATAGTTTCACTATGCCTTGCTCAACATTTAATGTTGGACTAAATCCTGAATATATATGCAAAAAAGATTAGTGATTTGAATTTTTGATTTTTTTTACTGTGAGTATTAAATGTTGTGCTTTTAACAAGTCAACCTATGAGCCACATCTTCAAGAAAAGACCTCTAATATTCTGTACAGATATTTCTGCATCTAGAAATGTGACTGTACCAGACAATTTGCAGGTGTTCCAGAAAAAAGCATCAGAAAATATTACATAGCATGGACAATTATAAGGTTTATCAAAGGCCCCATTTCTGAGCTATCTGGTACCACTGAAAGGCCACTAAATAATTGCATTTACTTGAATGAGCACTGTCACTAAAAACAGAAGAGCTACAGTCCAATTACATTTTGTAAAACTATTTTGGAAAACTAGGCTATCTCTTTGATATGTAACTTTGCTAAAAAACAAAACTGCTACAAAATCTTAAAAAGGCTATGACTTTGAAGCAGACAGAAACACCAACAGAAATTTCCCTATGGTGCTCTATAAAGGATGAGTTGCATCTATGTTTTACTCCAGTAGACATGATATAAATCAGGAGGAAGCCAAAATTATTTTATCAGAGATAAATGTGCATTCCTGAATGTGCATTCTAGGCATCCAAACCCAGTTGGAGTCAGCATGAGGGAGACAATTGTGCTTTCATTACTATTGTTGTTTCACTTTCAGCTGGATAGATGGGGTCAATGTCAGAAAAATGAAGGTTAAGGATTATCTAGATATAGTGTGAAGAAGAACTCTTTGGAAGGTTTTCTGTTTCAGGAAAATAATAATTTAATTATTTAGGAAGGGAAAGAAAAAATAATGTATAGCTCACAATGTTAAAATGTATCACACAGGCTGTTTAAGATTAAAAAAAGTAATAGTTTTTAAAGATTTTCCCAAACCAAGAGGGCAGCAGGAAATTACACACAGACCACCATTTCTCTTGATGATGCTGTTACTAGATGCATTAGAATTTCACTCAGAAAGAGTAAAATCCCCAAACGTTTAATTTTGGGTAGTGTGAAATCCCACTACTCATACAGGCCCAAAAAGATTCTTATCTGTGAGACCAGAAAAGAGGAATACACAAGAAGCTTTTCCTTAGTCTCTTATTTAATCAAAATAGATTTTGTTAACTGCATAGTGGGGTGCTTATCCCATTCTAATGTAATAAACGTACATAAATTCTTAATATAATCTTTAAAATGCTCAGCTTCCCTGATGATGGAACAGTGAAAATGGCTCACTATTATTGCAAGGGATTCCTTTATTCAGCTGTGTCCCTAATTGAACATTTTTGTTTCAAATAATCAACTGCAAGTATTAGAAATACAAATTTTTAAAGTAAGAATTTTCCCTATGACTGAAATTTAACTGTGCTCCAATTTGCTTCCACTGTGAATATACAATTCACAATTCCAAGTTAGTATTCATTCCAAAGCAAATTTCATTTTAGATATGTGAGAATTACATATTCAATCAATCCTTTAATGTTTTGAAGAGAAAGAGAAAATACAAGGTGGAATATTTAGAGCCAATGGACAACAAAACCTTAGTAAAGGGCTGGAGATTCAACAGAAAGTTTATTTCAATTCATGCAGGGTGAAGTTGAAAGGAAAAAAGTCTTCCTTTTGCGGCCACTTTCATGGCAATGAATGATTTATCTTCGTTGTATCCGAATAGCTCAATTTCAGCTTTTTCTTTAGAATGGAAACTTTCTCTATGAAAACATACTTTATACGTCAAGATTATCTGGCCAGTATTTGGTTTGTTCAGAAACAAACAGCACTAAAATATTTGGGGAAAACAGCAGGAAGGAGCAGGACTGAATATACAAGCAAAGTTGCACTAGCCACATCTTACCCTATTTAAAACTTGGCCCAGGGGGGCAGGGGGAAACAATCACACATGCACAAACACTGAGGTCATTCAGGTGAGAAAACATTGTTTTGAAAACCAATGTCTCTGGCTGTACTTCCTTGATGATAGGGGGTCTGGATAATAGATCATATGTAGGATGAAAAAACACAGACAGAACCAGCTGCCCAAATATTCTGTCTTCCCATCAACCTATGACCCACTGAGACTGCTACTAGGGATTGTACTGGGCCAATTACTACTCTAGCAACATAAACATTTAGTTTTCTGGAATTTCACACTTAAAAACATATCTTTGCCAACTGAATTAAGCTCTTATTTTCCAATACCCCCAGTTGGTGATGGTGGTTGCCTAATGACCCTATCATGGGATTACTTAGAAATACAGAACAAGTTTATTTTTATCTCTAAATCTTCAAAAAACCCTTCCATTTTCTTTTCCACTATTTTCTCTTCCTACATAAAATAGGCTTCCAGCTTAAAAGCTGAAATGTGGAGTCGTAACATCCATTATCTTATTAGTTCCTTTCCAATTAGGTGGGAGAATACATAAATGTTGGTTCATTCACAAATGATTCAACTAGGTTTGTAGGAAGAATAAGATTTTTTTTTGCAAGCATTTATTTAATATAGATATAGGAAAAAGGTAGGAAGATATAGGCAACCCTGTAGTTTCTGTAACTTTTTGTACTATACCTTCCTTAAATATGGCGCCCATTAAAACAAGAAAACTGATGATCAATAAACCTCTCCACTTGAGCAATATTAGACTTAAAAATAAAACTTACATTTTCATTTACTAGCATCTCCCAGACTAATATTTGATACAGATAAATAAATGAAAAGGTCTTAATTGAAATGGTTTTAAACTCCCATTATGACCACCTAGTAGTTTCCAGCCACCTGGGCCTTCATTTGGCATTCACCTGGCAATTCTTTACAGTCCAAGGCCACCTTACAGTGAAAGAGAGGGACCATTTATACAAGTCTCAAACGTTAGAGGCATCAGCCCGCTGTTCCTCTTTTACTTGCACATCAAAAGGGATCTCCCAGTTGAATGAATGATGGTAATGATTTTTCTGCTTAAGAGCAAAGCAAGAAATTCTGACATGTTAAATATATTTATAGGAAGTCTGCACAAGGGATTGAGGGGACTCAGTGTGAAGAGGGAAAGTGTGCACATCAGTCATTCAGTAAAGATAAAAGAAATCATTGATATAGCAGCACTCAAGCAGTCAGCTGTGTTGAGAAGAACTTGTTTGAGATCAACTGCATTAGAACTTTGTTCCAAAAACATCTGAGAGCCTCTGTCTCTTCAGCAATATCTGTTTTGAGGATAAATCTTTTGCCCTGGGATTGGCAGATCATTTAAGTATTGCAGCTCAGTCTGAGGAAAAGAAAGACAAGGAAATAATTGTTTGTAATTAGAACTTAATTTACATGCTTTACAAATTAAAGAGAACTACATTAAGTTTATTTGAATGAACATTTATAATTTTTTTGGTACATTTGTCATATTAATCATGGAACATGTAATGGATGAATAGCTCTACAGAACTGGAAAAAAAATACATTTTGGGGGGTATTGAGGAGTTCTGTCTTTCTACATTTATATGTAATGCCTAAAATATACTGGAACCTTTACATAACCTAAAATAAAAATCATGCGTACAGCTGAACTTGCATGAAGTGAATGTACATACAGCTCCGTGAATGTGATATAATTATGAAGCGTATACCTGGAACACGACACTTTTGGATTCTAATTGTCAGTGGTTTTTGAGTAGAATAGATTTCTGAGAAGAAAAAGACTGATAAACCCACAACATAAATGAATGCGTAATTAAGAAAAGAAGTAAAAAGAGACCATCAGCTTGCGCTGCACTTATTCAACCTCTCTGCTGCAGTCAGAATGACAGGCTGAGGCCTACACATTATTATCCTCTTCAAATAAAGGTTATATTGGAATACATAGAATAGAGATTGTAAGTGAGTTGTGGTGGCACAGTGGTTAGAATGCAGTATTGTAAGCTACTTCTGCTGACTGCCGGCTGCCAGCAGTTCAATTCTCACAGGCTCAAGGTTGACTCAGCCTTCCATCCTTCCAAGATGGGTAAAATGAGGACCCAGATTGTTGGGGGCAATAGGCTGACTCTTTAGAGAGGGCGCTAAAGCACCGTGAAGCGGTATATAAGTCTAAGTTCTGTTGCTATTGTTATTGCTTTGTCTAACTGATATATTAGACTCCATTCTTCCATCTCTGAAGATTTGAAAGTCATAAGAGTATATAAGCTATTCTTCATCACGATCTCTGTGATTCACACAGATGGGTGAGTAATAAACTTTTTACCTAAAAAGGCACACTTGATTGTGAACACATTGGGGATAGGTTTGCTTTCCTGAACAAGCATTCTTGTTCAAAGCAAATCATTCTCATATGTTTGCCCAGGAGGAGACCACTCTAAGGTGTATGGTTAAAGCTGCTGGTCTTGTGACAAAAAATATCTTATCAATGAACTAACAAAAGAGACTAATGGCTGCAATTCATCTAATTTGAGAAAGGCTTGTTGATACCAAGAAACTCTGACACAAATTTGGTCCACATAGTATGGGGTTAGACAAAAGAAAACAAGAGCCTAAAGCATATCCAAATGACTTAGTTCCTTTCCAATTAATTGCTCTGTTCGGGGCAGAGGGAGGGAAGTGCCAGACTGACATTTCAAAAAGTTTGAGAAGTAAAGAAACACCTAGCTATAAAATGCAACGATGTTTCAGAGGCAGCTCATCACAACCCACAAGACAAAGTTTAATGGTTTTGCATGTGAAAGGGATGCCAATTAGAAATCCTGTCTTAACAATAAACATAAAAGGCACAAAGACACTGACGTGAAGGCCTTTCCATTACACCCATCAAAATCGGAGAAAAGTTCCATACTAGAATAAAACTGGAGGGGACGAAAAATTTGAACAACTTTTAAAGAAACATCTAATAGTAGAATATGTGGAAAGTGACACTCTTTGAAACGGGCCTCTAGAGGTAGCTACAAGGCTAGCCCTGGAAGAAGAATGGAGGAGATAGGAAGAAATCTAGAATATGTTCAAGGAAACAATTAAGCAGGTTTATGCCTTAATGGCCCCAAAATTTGAGAATCATTAACATTATAGTTCTTTGAATCTCTATGGTTTTTCAAGTTTCTATACTGCATTCATAATCTAGTGGTATTTGAGAACTCAGCCTTTGTGATGCTCCCAAGTGGATACTGAAGGTTCAGATGTTAAGTTAGGTTACTGTGTTACCCTTTCTGCATGTGAATTAGGGTATGGTGTGCATGGTGACAATGGAATTCTGCTTAGGTCCCAAGGAGGGAAAAAAGCGAACCAAGAATAAAGGAATGATATAAAGGTACAATCCATAAAACATCTTCATCAAGACAAAGGAAAGAAAACAGTAGAATGGGATAAAACAAAGACATCTGACCAACAGAATTGAAAGTGATGAACTAGAACTGATGCTGGCCCCAGTGGAATTCTCAGTATTCTATCTGTTCTGGGCTGCAAACATTTCTATCTTCGCCTGTTCCCACAGTGAAGCAAGATGACAATTACAGTTGGTTGCAGATGCTAGTCATGAGAGAGCAGGTGACTTGACTCAATGAATCTGTTAAAATATCCTGCCCAGAAGATGAGCTATGATGAGATACATTTTGAGTCTATTGTAGTTCTAAATTTGAACCTACAACTGTGTGAGGGATTTCCTAATGGCCTATTTATTCAGGTACCATGCAACTGAATGTAACTTGTTTAATGTAATTTGCACTGTCTGGTGTCTGTGGAAAGGCTCCAAAGTCTTGCACACTGCCAGGAGCTATAGAAGGGTGATATAAGAGTTTCTGCTTTTTGGGTATCTGCACTTCCTGGATCTGAATAAAGCAATAGTGAGCTACCAAATCATTGCAGGCATTGGTAGTTAGTATATTCATTTGTGGTAAAAAGGACATGTCCATTGCTAAGTTCTGTCTATCTACCCTCCTATGGAGCCATGAATATCGGTTGGCATGGTAAGTATTTACAAGAAAAAAGGACATTGTTAAACTCTTCCAAGAAAAAGCAACATGGGTTTCTCAGCAGGAGAAAAACACTGCCAGTTTCATTGGTAATTGTGCATTTAAAACTATGGCTGACACTATCACCCTTCATCAGCATGCCTGGCTCTACTCCACAGGTCTCATGCAGAAAGCAAGGGCATGCATTAAAGACCTGCTGTTTGACAGAGAAGGACCCTTAGTAGTAAAACTGACGATATCCTCAATTAAATTCAAAAACTGGTTTACTGTTTAGTGCACAAGCCTGGTTCTCAATGTGTGTGTGTTAATTATTATTAATTATATGTATTAAAGGAAGATGTGCATGCTACTTCCTAAAGGCGCACTGAAAGGCTTCCACACTTTAAGCTGAAATATGAATTTTGTGATATATTACTATACTGAAGAGAAAAATGGTGTATCGGTTTTGATCTTTGGAGTGTGAATTATTTCCTATCAGTCCAAAAAATCCATAAGGTTTCTCATTCTTCCCCTCCTTGTAAAGGGACACTATTTTTCACTAATGGGTTTAAAGGATGCCTATTTCATTTTTTCATCGTTTTCTAAGTTTTAAAGTGAAGACACAAGCTTATTGGCTTTCCTTTGGATTAGGTATTGCCCTTCCACATGGTTCTCTAAATCTACAGCTGTCATAATAGTTCATTTGAGATTCTCTGGAATAAAATATTATCTTCACATTTTTTTGCTGTTTTTGACACATAGTGGCACCATTGTTTATGCATGTAGATACTGTTCTTGACCTATCATCTGATGTCAACTTCTTGTCAACATAGAAAATTATTATTCTCTGTTGTTAAATGCTTCAGATCACCTGGCACCTTGCATATTGCATTTATTCCATACCATTGCTCAGACATATGACTCTGATTATATCAGATGATATCTGTGGATAGTCTCAAATGGAGGAGCCTTTATATATAAAATATATAGATTTATACTTATATATAAAATATCTAGCTACAAAAGCTATAGAAGGTAGACATACCAATTACTGCTCTTCGGTTGTCCATACACCAAAGATCAGAAAGTAGATACAATCTTGGATAACTATAGAGTTGAAAGCCAAATATAATGGAGGTACTAATCAAAATACTCCTGAGTCATGAAGATCCTTAAACTATATGGGGTCTGGACTATAATGGCCTGAGGTCAAGCCTGACATCTTGGAACCAAGAAAGCATGTTACAACATGCCTCTACATTGCAGAATGGTTACAGAGGCATGACTGAAAGTTAAGACAGATGGAAGGTTTCCACTTTATCTCCCTTTCTGAGACACCCTATCATAGACCTTGTGTTCTTACTGTCACACATACCTTGGTTGCCAGTTCACATCCAAGGTGATAGGATAAATCACTATGAACGATGCATCTTGTCTTCCTGTTTTGAACCTCACAGCTATTAAAAAGTTACTGTTTATAAATGATACTGAGGAAATTCTCTTGATATTAACTCCCAAGAGTCTCTATGGGTTACCAAGAGACTTCTCTTGGTATTAATTGAAGAACTCTATGGGCTGTTCAATGAGGCTATATACACTGACATTAATCAATGTGATAACTGATAGCCTAGATCTGTGGGTTGCTTGAATGCTATGGACAGCATAGTTTCTGCTGAATCAATTGTAGTATCAGTTAAGTCTCACAGAAATGCTTTTAAGTGGAAAGAGATGTTTCTGCAGGCCTGCCATGAAAGTGATGGCAGAATTTCACAACATGCCTTTGCTGAAACAGATTAGGCAAATAAAGTGCTTCCCTATGGCTGATAATCTAAATTTGCAAAATACTGCACAAATGGCCATTCATATAAGATTAAAGTACGGTACATTTAAGTTGAAGTAGGCAGTTCCTTGGTTTAGAACTGCCTATTTTGTTATTGCTACAGTGGTTGAAAGAGAACGGATGGCCATAGAAGTAGATATATTAAAGGTGGTCAGAAGTCTTTCCAACATCCTGAGTTGTACTTTTGTGAAAATCACAGAGATCACAGTGAAGAATCACATATATGCTATATAGAGATTTTGGTGTATGGAACAGTGTCCAATTCTAATAATCTGTACAACTATCTTTGTGTTACCTTAATACTTTTAGGTTCTTGATCTGAGGCATATCCCCTCCCCCTATTCCTTTATAAATTCCAATTGAGAACTTTTGCTATGAAAACAATTATTATGGCAAACAAGGGTAGTACATTATCCATTTATTAACCACCTGGTTAGATTTTTTCTTAGACAGAAATTTCAATGAGAAATAGGATGGCTGATTGGAAAAAGTGATTAATAAGATGACCATAGCCATCTTTAGAGTTCAGGAATACTCTCATTTCAGGAATTAAATCCTTAAGATGCTATAAGCTGTATGACTATTTATATTCCTGCCCCCCCATTACACAGCCTGATGCCACTTAGAGTTCTTTTGTCTTTACCTCTGCAACTGTAATCTAGAGTATAGTGCCATTTATCTGGATATGTAAGTATATGTTCTGGATGGGGAGTGGTTCAATTCTGCTTGCGTAGCTGGATCATTCAGGAAGTCCCAGAGAAGGATAGTATCATCATGTGAGCTGCTGACAATTTGAAATTCATCAAACTGAAGTCGAAAAACTCTTCCAGAATGTTCCTAGACAGAGGAAAGACAACCCAAAGTCAAACTTTTCTAGTTATTGGATAAGAATAAAACATATTTTGTATTTATTCTATATGTTTTATTCTATATTTCTAAAGGAAATACATCTTTGAAAAGTAGTTTCACTACTGCTAATAGATGGCCCAAAACGTGGTTCATGATTTCACTACCCCTGAAGCTATAACACTCCTCTCCCTTGCCGCTCTCTCAAGCCTGGAAGCTGAGCTACTGCTGGTTTTTGTAAAGAATCTCATGGCGAATCCTGTCTTCAGGTGAGCAGATTGATACGTAGGCCTGTAAAAGTAAAAGGAATGCTAGATACTAGATATAACAGTATATTGCAAACTCTAAAAGTAATACCAAATGGGTATTTTGTCCCTTTGTGGGGGTGTGCTTTTCACACACATCTTACTCAGCAAATATTATCAACAGTAAATGCAAAAAGAACAAATTAGTATGATGTGACCTTAGGCACATGTACATTCTGTGCATACTCTTTTTTCCTGAGATTCAGGATACATTTATATAAGCAGTTAGTCTTCATGTTCAAAAACATTCTAAACACCTTGCAGACAGCAGGACAAAAGTGCATACACAGAATGCACAAGTGCCTGAAAAGCCATCTTGTGACATAATAATAATAATAATAATAATAATAATAATAATAATAATAATAATAATAATAATAATAATAATAATAATAATAATAATAATAATAATAATAATAATAATAATAGTAAAGTTGGAAGGGACCTTGAAGGTCATCTAGTCCAACCCCCTGCTCAGGCAGGAAACCCTATACCATTTTGGACAAATGGCTGTCCAGTTTCTTCTTAAAAACGTCCAGTGTTGACGCATTCACCGCTTCTGGAGGCAGGTTGTTCCACTGGTTAATTGTTCTAACTGTCAGGAAGTTTCTCCTTAGTTCTAGGTTTCTTTTCTCTTTGATTAGTTTCCTCCATTGCTTCTTGTCCTGCCTTCAGGCGCTTTGGAGAATAGCCTGACTCCCTCTTCTTTGTGGCAGCCCCTAAGATATTGGAACACTGCTATCATGTCCCCCCTTCTCTTCATTAAACTAGACATACCCAATTCCAGCAATCGTTCCTTATATGTTTTAGCCTCCAGTCCCCTAATCATCTTTGTTGCTCTTCTCTGTACTCTTTCTAGAGTCTCAACATCTTTTTTACATCGTGGTGACCAAAACTGGATGCAGTATTCCAAGTGTGGCCTTACCAANGCATTGTAAAGTGGTATTAATACTTCACGTGATCTTGATTCTATCCCTCTGTTAATGCAGCCCAGCACTGTGTTGGCTTTTTTGGCAAAAATGAAATACATACATTTGAACCTCAGCTCAAGGAAGGCACAATGCAGCATATGGAAAAAATTAATCAAATTGCTTTCATAATGGGAAATTTCAGAAATATTTAATATTTCCCCTTTGCCAATCTTTTTCCAAGCTGGTTTGCTGGTAGCACCAAGCATGAATTGCTACATCTTATCCGTTCAGTGATTCTAGATGAAATTAAGAGAGTCAAGAGGCTTCTTTCTATGACTGAAATGCTCAAAATGTATCAATGGTTCAGGTTTTGAACTTGAACTGGTTCAGGTTTTGTTCTTTTGAACTGCAGCCACAGAAAACAATCTTACAAAATGTAAAACATATTTCCATTTTTCCTATATCCGTTTTTAGTATGTTGAGAGAATATTGTTATTCTATTTCTGAGTTTTATTATTCCTGCACGATTTCATTAGCCATTCTGGTTTTCCAACATATACTAGCGAAATCAAGTTACCATCTTTTCGTGGCTAGCAATTCATTTTCTGCTAAAAATGTCAAAATATTCAAAGTATTAAGAACTGAATACATAAGAAAGAATTTGAACCACACTATAATAACTGTGTTAACTCCTGCTGTTGCTAAAATCTTGGCCCTTTCATTGGTCTCATTCAAGCAAGCATTTGTTATATTCTTGTGCAATGTACATTTTTATATGGACTATCCACACTGCCTAAGAATTGAACAAGAAAACAAAAACAAATACTTAGATCATTGGACAACACAAGTTTAATTCCAGATACTGAAGATAATAGAACAATGGCTAAGATATTTTCCCAAATTGTGTAAACATCTAAAACTTAAATGTTTCTGCCTATCCTTCCTTGGATAAAAGTAGGAGACAACTTTAATGAAGCAATGAAATCTTAGGGTTTGTTTACCTTAGCAGCTTAGCCATGAGCAGCAGGATTCACAATTCAGTCTCAGCTGAAGTGTGAACATAATCACTCAAGGGTAATGGATACTGACTCCCCTAGCACCTCATTTATGCTTAATGAATTCTACTTTGCTTCCCACACATTTAAACCTCTCCATTAGAAGACAAAACAAAGTGGTTGTTTTTTTCCACTTGCCTTCATCACTTGTAGATGATGAAAATATATTTAGGCATATTGGGCAAATGCTACTGATTTGGTCTATTCCATGAAATTTGACTTCTGATAAAGTGGTTTACTTCTATACAACAATGGATATACATTATTCTCATCAGAGGAAGAAACTTCAGAAGAAGAAGATGGGTCAGTTGATCTCACCACGTCGTCTGCAACAAATGAGCCAAACCTAAGCACAAGACCCAGGCTAGAATAATTCCCCTCTACTTGCGACCATCTGCCCAGAACTCTCTGATCTAGATTATACAGACACTCATCCTAGTTGTGTGGCACTGAACTAAATTATCAAAAAGCTGAAAATAACTATTAAGTTCTAAAATAGGGTATTTCATACTAGCTCAATGTAAGTGGATGGTCTTTGTAGCCAAATCAGGTTTGATAAGCACCATCTAAGTAAAAAAAATAGTTACAGTCTTCAGTACAAATCTCTCTATGTGGCAGTACCATAATATTGGAAGCAACTATTGCTTATATGATTGGCCACTCTTGCAACTTGATTGTGGAAACTCTTTCATTTACAGGCATTTTATTCTGGATTCCAAATTTCACTCTTTCAAATTTCCTCTTTTGCTTCTGGAATCTGAATAGTAATGTTCTTTTTCCATGCCAGGTTGTGGGTAATCTCTTCTATAATTAGGCCTTACGTTATACAACAGTGCTTTTCCTCTGCTTAATTCCTAACCTCATTCCAGAATTGGACATGTGAGAACTACAAATATATGTTTTATCTTTACTGTATGGAAGTCCCAAATTATGTTATGATGCCACTCTTCCACCTCCTATTCTGCATCTTTTCCTCTTTATGAAGTGACGAATTCTAACATTAGAGCCACTGTTATTTATATATATATATATAAATTTGGACAAGCCAAATTTCCATCCAAATTTTTTTGAACCACTGTCTTTTGGTCAGCCTATCTAAGATACTAAAGGAGTTGTAGTTTAATAAACAATGGAGGCTTACATTGCCTATTAATTCCTCCTTCCTGTTATTCACCAAACCAGGTGAAATTTCATTATAGATTAATATTAGAACACAGTTCTTACCACAAGAGTGCGCAAGCAGAGGGTTCCAGCAGGGGCACGGGGATCAAGCGCAGCTAACAAATCCCAGACCTTAATTTTTCTAATAAGGAAAAAAAAACATACATACAATTTTCTTAAAAATCAAGTATAAGGTAAAATTAACTGCCCTCAACCCAACCCACTAAAGTCAAATTAATAATTAATTATCTTCCAGAGGGGGGATACTGTATGTACCTCAGTTAAAATAATCTTAAATCTATAAGACAGAAGTACATGAAGTATAAATTTCTTCAGAAATTTGCCTTTCTACTCTAAGTCTCTGTTCTGCCTACATGACTTACCATGTTTCCCCGAAAATAAGACCCAATCTTATTTTTTTGGGGGAGAGGTCTTATTTTGGGGGTAGGTCTTACTTTCAGGGAAACACGGTACTATGCTATCAGGAAAAAAATTAAAGGGTGCTGAAACTTAGCCTAATGATCAAAGAATAAACAACCTGTGTAACTGCTCCACGTAATTCCCATGTGACATTAAAAAGCCCAACTGGAAGCACCTTCAGCAACAATCAAGTCAAACATAAAAAGTTAGTGGAGGGAAACATGTTAGACTAGGACCCACACTCAAGCTCCCTCTCAGTCCTAAAGTTTTATTGTGTTGCTTCAGGCCAGTCTAACCTATCTCCCATGATGTTTTGTGGGGAAAACTGGAGGAGAGAGTACTATGCTTGCTACCTTGAGCTCTTGGAAAAGGGCAGGGGATATAAATTTAACAAATACATAAAAAGGTGTCAAATTGAAAACATCCCAACAGAACTGCTTCAAAAGTTCTTGGGTGCATCTAGCGGTGTGTGAGTGAGCATTATCGTGAACCAACACCACACAGGAAGTCAGCATGCCCCGATGCTTGTTATGGATGGCTCGTCTGAGTTTTCGTAACGTTTCACAGTAGACTTCTGAATTGATGATCGAACCACGCTCCTTTGGCATCTTCACATTTGGCAGGATTTTTTATGGCACCACTTCCGGTGTGGTGTTGGTTCACGATAATGCTTGCCCGCACACTGCTAGATGCACCCAAGAACCTTTGAAGCAGTTCCGTTGGGATGTTTTTGATCACTCCCCCTATAGCCCATATTTGGCATCGAGCAACTACTACTAAGGAATTTCAAACCTTGTAAGACATTATGACAAGTGCCTCAATTTGAATGGCGATTATGTCGAAAATTAATGTAATGTTGTAGTTTTCTAATGTGTATAATAAAAGTTCTGTATCTGCGAGTGTCTGTCATTGATAACCAAACGGAGGTTTATTTCCGAATTGCCCTCATATGTTATTGCATAGCACATCTGGTATGTCAGCATTCTGGTTAGTACTGATAAGAATTTTGTAGATTTTAAAAGTACATGTTTTCTGTGGCACTTTATTTATTTGTATTCTACCTTTATTAATTATACAAATAATTCAAGGCAAAGAACAACATATCCAATATACCTTCTTCCTCCTCCTATTTTCCCCATAAAAAAGAACCCTGTGAGGTCAGTTGGGCTGAGAGTGACTGGTCCAAGATCACCCAGCTGGCTTTCATGCTTAAAATGGGAGTAAACCTTATAATCTCCTGCTTTCTAGCCTGATGGCTTAACCACTAGACCTATGTTGGCTTTCTATAGTAGCTTTCTGATTTGTTTGAATAATCATTTTGACATGCAGTCTCTTTGACATTTTTGCTTAGGTTAATTTCTTTCAAATAACCTGTATATTATTTTGTTGTGCATGTAGCTCTGACTCTTCAACAGAGACTTCTCTTTCTCTGTTCCAATAGTAAATATGATGTTCTAGAAAGAAGAATATTTTCATCTTTCCAAACTCATCAAAAAGTATAGATGGAAACTCTAGAATTTTTCCTTTTGGTTTGATGGATAACCAGGAAAAACATGAGACTTTGTTTTTATATATGGTAACATCAGCGAGACTTTTGTATGTAAAGAGATGGAAAGGCCTACAGATTCCCACAATAAAAAAATGGATGGTGAAGTTAATGAAATTGGCTGAGATGGCAAAATTAACTACTTTGATTAAAGAAAAGACTTTGTCTAGTTTTGTTTCTACATGGAAACAACATTTGGATTTTTTGTTTGAAATGGAAAGTAATGCTATATTAATTTTGGGATTTGACAAGTAGAATGGTTTATTATTATAGAAATAGTGTATATTACTGAATTTTAGATTAAAAGGTTAATGTATTTTATATTGCAAGTGTATCAAAGAAAGTTGAAAGTTATCTTTTCTTATTTTTTCCATGTTTTCTTATTCTTTGCATTTTTCCATTCCCTATTTTTTTAGTTTTAATTTTTCCCGCGTTTTCATATTTTAGTTTTTATAAAATTTCAGTAAAATATATATATAAAGGTATATGAAAACTTCATATAAATTAGGCTGCTCCACACCAATGGGTCTAAGCATAACAGCTCATCTCAGAAAAAGGAAGTTGTGTAATATAAATGTAAAGCACTAGAATAGCAACAGCAATAGTGCTTTACAGCACTCTCTTAGAGGTTTGCAGATTGTTGGGGCATATTGTCCCAACAATCTGGCTCCTCATTTTACCAACCTCGGAAGGATGGAAGGCTGAGTCAACCTTGAGCTGATCAGGATTGAACTCCTAGCAGCATAATGGGACAATTTGCCACAGACAACTTGCTGAGGCCACCTTGCCTTGGCCAACTCGCTGTGAGACAATTTGCTATTGTCCAACTCACCGCGGGACAACTAACCGCAGGACAATTTAACAATTAAATTTAATTATTTAAAATAAATTAAAAAAATTTTTAATTGTTGTCACATTTTTGTCACATTCACATTTCATTTGTCCCTCCTTTAATTATTCTATTCCACCATTTCTTTGATATTAGTGTAACTCTTGCCCTGCAATGAGTTCTCCCGTGAGTTGGCCATGGCAAGTTGTCCCACGGCAAGTTATCCCGTGGCGAGTTGACCATGATGAGTTGGCCATGGTGAATTGGCCTAGTTGTCCCATGGCAAGTTGTCCTGTGGAGAGTTGGCCCGTAGTGAGTTGTCATAGACCCCCTGCCAGTGGGCAGAGTCAACATACAATACTGCATTCTAACTATTGCACCACTACAGCACAGTTAAGCTAAAAAACTATTATTTTGGAGGACAGCTTCCAGCAGAATGGCAAGTTAATCAGTCTGTCACAATGAAAAGCTGATTCGGAGTTGAGAATCTACAATGAAGTTGAATCTGGATTTCATAAACAGTTTTGAAAGCAATTGTTTAATGGGTACAAAAGATCAGTAGGAAAATAAGAAATAATAGATGCAATACAGATAAAAATGATATGAATGCAAATTAGATATTTTGAATATTCCAACAATTGTATATAAACATCACCTCATTCTTTTGTTGGTGTCACTAATATGTCAATGAGAATACTAAAAAAGTTGATAAATTACAAAGTTGTATTATTATAGCTAATGATTCTGCCAAATTTGTAACATGCTTTCTTCCCATTTTTTAATCTACTACTAAAATGAATCAAATTGTTTTCTTTTTTGCAGTATACATTGCAGGAAGATTCTTTTTTGATGAACTGTTTTTTCAGAAGGTATTTTTAAATTTCTACTTTTCAGGTTTTAAGTCAGTTTAGGATAAGCAAATAAGATATTCATGAGATATGTATCTCATCACTACATGCTCACCCATCATAGGCTCCACTGACTATCCTCTTGTTATCAAAACGAATGCATCTCACCAGTTCCTCATGGCCTTCCAAGACCCGCAAACAGGCCCCACACTCAATGTCCCATAACCTGTTGGAACACAAGAGAAATAATCATTATATTTTTAAAATTCTATAATTGAATTACAAATTGCAAATTGAACCTACTTAATAAACACTTAAGTGAGAGAACTTGAATATATCTAAATTCCTATTTTGTATCCAGAAAATATCAATGTTTAATGCAAAAGCCAACTTTTTTCATATCCAGCAATTTCAGAAATAGGTGATTTTAAGTCACTATTTGAGTTGCTATTAGGATTAAATGACTGACAATACATAATTGAATCCAGATAAATTGGCCAATAGTGGCCCATATAAACTTGAGATAACATTTTCATATTAGACAATAGTATATTTTTTGCTGGAAACTGAGTTTGTTAGTGGAAAGAGACTGAAATGGGAGCTTCCTCTACAATTACATCTAAAATGACTATTCTTTCTTGAAACATGCTATTGTCAACTTGGGCAAACTCTTTGGCTACTGTCAAATTGCATTACATGTGATGATCATGTTTGGAACTTCTTCACAAGTGTCTAAAATTGCATCTGTTATTTATTAGTGAAATTGAAAGAAAGGAACATATTACCACAATTGCAATGGCAGATACATAATAAAATGATAATTCTTTAGGTATAAACGTTCTTATGAATCTGAATATAGTGCACCTAGAATGCTTATAGTTCAATATCCACTATAATACAACTAAAAGTTGACTTGTTACTCATATGAATCTGGCATAACAAAATCTATAATTAGGTAGTGCACACCAGTTATTTAAAAGAGAACACTAAAATTAGGGGTTTGTAATTCAAGTATATAGGACTGTTGTTCTAGGGGAACAGGTGCTATTAAACATTTTATGACCTATGAATAAAAAGACAGTTGTTATACATTTTATGATCCCTGGAGTAAATGGTTATATAACTGACTGAACTAAAAGTATTTGTGAAAAATAATTCACGTTTACTTCATTTCTACTCTCTGAAAGTCCCCTGAAATGCAACTTTTAAGGTCTGTAAGGTATTTGTGGGAATGTGTAAAAGCAAAAAGAGTAACTGGAAGAAACTTAGTTATGTAGAGAGATATTCAGGAGATTTTTTAAGCAGATGGAGTTCAGTTTTATCAGTTGAGCCTATGGCAGAGCTATCTTTTTGCTTTAATAGTGCTTCTCCCTATAAAATATGTTTTAATGTTGATGAAAAATGATCAGGATAATTTTTCTGACACTAGGGCCATTCTTGCCAAAAATGCATATAGGGAAACAGTTATCATATCCACTTAGTTATCAACTATTCTAAAGTAAATATGTAAAGATAGTTTGTGATGCTAGCCAAATTTAGTATAGTGACATAAATTCTGGTAGACTGATTATGATTTTATTAATAGCTCATGTTTGTCCCATTACTTTGCTCTTTCTAGCTAACTCTGAACAGGAACTGTAGCATTAAGTAACAGTGTCTAGCCATTCATTCCTCACATTTGGCTCTGGTCACTGAATTCTAGAGAATTAAATTTCATTCTGCTTTTGAGATTTCAGTGTCAATTCTCTTAAAAAAAACTATAGTACCTATTAAAGAAGAGTGAGGAAGTAATGCAGAATACTGAAATTATACTCAAAACATTTACAACCCACTTTCAAAAGGCAAGAGGGATGGGAGAAACACTCTGCAAACAAATGTTTGAATATTAACTCTAAGAAGCATATAGGTCAACTATGTACTCAACCTGAATTCTGCTGAGATACAACTGCCAACTGCAGCAAAATCCCAGCACAAGATTTTTATTCCATGTAAGCAGAAAAATAATTGTATTCCTCTTTAAATTTATTACCATATTGACATTTATATTAGTTTTATTTTACTGTATGTGGTACCTCTAGTTGCTTTTCCAAGGTCCACAATATTTAACTGTTTCTTGGTTGGGTTACTACTAGTGTTTGTGTTTTCCAAATTTTAAACTTTTAAGTTTATCCTGTTTGATTCTTTTTCCTAAATAAAAATGATTGGCAAAATCTACTATTACATTTCCAAGATAATAGCATCAAACAAACCTATTTCACAATCTCTGTGATATTAATTCCAGAGGATTACACAAATAGAAAAAAGATGAGCCTAATAATTAGAGTAACCTTAACAATGCTTATAACTCAATGAAATGGTCAGCTTTAGACTGCTAGTAGTAACTTTTTAAAATTGACCTTAAGCATCAGTTCAAAGCAAGCTTGAAATTATGTTATTCATGGCTAGTGTAGAAGCTCTATGCCAACACTGGAAAGCACATCTGTCTATGAAACATGACAAGGATTGGGACATTTCACTGATGGAGAGAAGAATACCTAAAGACAAGAATGTTTTCCAATAATAATGGAATCATGATTTACATCACAAGGAAGACTGGGTTGGGGAAAAACTTGCACCTATAGAGAGGCAGCGCATTTAAAATATTAAGATAGCTTTTAAATTACTAAATTGGATTGAATAGGAAGACACTGCAAAATTCACTTATTCACTTCCTTATTCACAATCACTTCCAAGCAGTAGATTTTGCCTTCCTATCAAAACCCATCCAATTATCATTCAATCAACATCTCAAAACTGCAATCTTTGTAGTATGGAATGGACTGATGCTTGGATTATTTCCAGTGAAGGCAGAGCAAGTGGACTTCCTGAATCCAGGCCACCTGTTTCAAAAGGGGCTCAAGGACAAGTACTATGAGAAAAAATATAACCTGGTAGCTATTAATTGGATTTAAGAACTGTACTAAAACCTTTTAATGCAAATCCAACTTTTTTCATGCATAAATGCAATCTCATATTAATGAGTGTAGCAAATGTGCCAGGAAGTGAAAGAACACGAGTATTCCAAACAACAACTTTTCATACAATGTAACCTAATGCTTCAATTCTAAAATAAGGTACGATAAATACAGAAAGAATCCATGTGCACACACACAGAAGCTTTATGTCAAACTAGCTTTTAGTTGGGCAAAATTGGTATTTAGATATATCACTGTTATATGCAGACCCGTTTGCCTTGACCCCCCCACCAAAGTCAGTGCTAATCCTATGCTTCATACCTAATTGTATTATCAGATGAACCACTGACAACTAATCTATCTCTATATTGTAGACATGCAATGCCTCGCTTGTGGCCATTTAAGGTACGAACGAACTCACAGGTACTTGTGTTCCATACCTATAAAAGAAGTACAAAGAAGAAAAATGATTATTTGGAAATATTACATATACAATTGGTATTTGTATGAGAAAGATTTATACTGATAATAGAACCAGAGTGATGGATAAGATAAGATAAGATAAGATAAGATAACCTTTATTGTTATTTTTATACTGTGGGCACAATGGCACACATCAAAAATGAAATTTAGTTGGAGTGGTTAGTGTTGGATTGGGATTGAGTGTAGCAAGTGATGGTGCAGTGGTTAGAATGCAGTACTACAGGCTAACTCACTGCTTACTCCAGGAGTTCAATTCTGAGTGCTCAAGGTTGACTCAGCTTTCCATCCTTCCAAGGTCGATAAAATTAGGACCCAGATTGATGGGGGCAATATGTTGACTCTGTAAACCGCTTAGAGAGGGCTGTAAAGCACTGTGAAGCGGTATATAAGTCTAAGTGCTACTGTTATTAAGGAGAGTGCAATAAATTGTGACTTAGTTTATGGACTGACTTTAGGACAGTGACATATTCTTTCAAATCTTACCTATTCACTGTGTTCCTTAGTTAAAGGTAGAATATTAATGAAAGAAATACAATAAATAAATACATATTCAAAATCATACTGATTTCAAGGTTTGCACCTTTATAGTTCTATCCCCTGATGCTGATACGATGTATTTGTCATCAAAGTCTACCACATTGACGGCTGCTCTGTGTCCAACCAGAACCCTTCGTAAAGTGATGTCTGTTGGGGAGGCCATGTCCCAAACAGCAATGGAACGATCTTTAGAACATGTCACCATCATCCCATTATTAAAGCGCAGGTGCAGTACTGCTTCACAATGATGGATCAGCGTGTTGAGCATCTCACCAGTATTTACATCCCACACTCTGGAGTTCATGACAAAAGAGAAGGTGGAAAAAAGAAGACTATGAGTTTCTCATAATAATTATAAGCTTCCTATCACTACATGATGTATCACAAATGTCCTGAAAAAATGTGTTACATGTCAGCCTTTAAGCTTACTTTGAGATGAATGGTTTAAGTAGCATGTGTGAAATAAAAGAAATACAATAAAAATACATTCTTTATCTGAATAATATTGTGAGATAGGACATTCTTATATCCATTTTAAAAACATAATCATAAGTAACAAAGGACACAGTCTGGTCAACACTGTATCATGAACCTTTGACTAAGCTCATGTTTGAATCAAATTTAATTTTTCTATTAACCATTTGGGATAGAGACCACCAAATTTAAAATAACCCTACAGTACTGTTAATACCATACTGACTGAACAGGGCAAATGAAAACATTTTTTAACTAAGTGGTTTGATATATAGTGTTTCAAGAACTCCTAACTTCAAAACAAATGGTGAGTTTCTGTGCTTGTGGGAATTATGCAGCATCTGAATGCTTCTCTAGAAGTTGTTATTCTAGAGCAAACATGTCAAACTTGCAACGTCACGTGATATCGCACAACGTATCAGGACGGTTTTGCCATTGCCGGCAATGGGGTGGGCACGGCTTCCGGATGATGCATCTGGCCCGCGGGCTGGCAGTTTGACACCCCTGTTCTAGAGCTTTTATCTTAATTTTAAAAATTATTGTAGAAAAGAATATGGACAACATTAATAGATGAAAAGGATCTTCTGTACTTAGTGATTTTCTTTCTTTCTTTCTTTCTTTCTTTCTTTCTTTCTTTCTTTCTTTCTTTCTTTCTTTCTTTCTTTCTTTCTTTCTTTCTTTCTTTCTCCATCAAGTTTCCAAAGTGGATAGTTTAACAATATACAGAAATTTACACAGGAGGAAGGGCAGACAATAGATGCAGAAAGCCAGTGAGTCAAACAGGCTTTCTTCTATTTTCTAAATTATTGGCTATAGAAAAATTCTAAATACTTTAAGTGGATGATTAAAATTGCATGTAAAAATTGAATTCTTTTCTTAGTATCTAAAAATATAGGTACCTAAAATATAGCATATTTTTATAGCCTGCTAAATACTGTATATAAGCAAAAATTTATAGATTCAGTTAATATGCTGATTATATTTTCTTAAGGATAGTTATATTTATGTACACATATGGTGCATATGCATTGTTAAGTCTGAAATCCAGGATTTAAGCTTCTCATTTTCCAGCTTATTTTAATAAAAGCATGTGATATTTTTTCCACCTTTATAAATACCTCCTGTCTTTTTTGTTTCAGAATGAAGTTTGACTTGAGGAACCAATGCAACCAGTTCAGCACAGAAACTGTACCGTACTCAGAATTGTAAGCCAAGTAATCTCACAATTCAAAATTCCTTTTAGACATGAACTCACTAGAAAGTTGCAAAGAACTCTTCTCTCGGCCATATCCCTCCCCCTCATGCCTCCCATCATCTACAATATGGGGCTAACAGTATTGTGAAATGAAATACACATGATTCTATTTTTACAAACACATGAAGCTTCTTAGATTCACTCATGCATGACAATTTCTTGCTTTGATTGAACTCAAGTATAGGTAGTTCTTGACTTGCAATTGTGATTGGGTCTGGAATTGTGATCACATGATCACAGAACACTGCAACGAGTTATAAGTATGAGTCAGTTGCCAAGCACTGGTTCATGATCACATGACCATGGGACTGTGGGATGGTTGGAGCTCCAAGGACCAATTGTAACCACAATTCATTCAGCATTTTGTAACTATGATCAACTGCTGAATGAATGGTTGCAAGTCAAGGACTACCTCTAAGATTACCACAATGCATTATAAATATAAAATATAAAAGAATGCCTATGTATAATGCTTGGAAACGTTAACACAACTCATTAAGTACAGCACACAGGTAAGATATTATACAAGTACCTCAAGTGTAGCACTGGAAACCAGTTTTCGGATCATAAGTAACAATGTTTGTCTTAAAGCTACAGGTGGTTCAAGATTTAGGTATCTTATAGACTGCTTGCTTTTTTGCATTTTTTTTGGAAATCAGAAACTACTGAGGGACAACATTTTCTCAGTGTTAGTTCTTAAGAGGACACAGATGTCTCCAACCAAGCTTTATTCATAATGCACTACTGTGATCATTTTTTAAGCATAAATTACAATCTTTTATGGCATACCAAAGTTTTTAGTTTCACTTAGCTGGTGGAACCAATATAATAAGTAGCTAAATGTTTGGGCTGAACTAGGGACACTCAAGTTCAAGGCCCCACGTGACTATGGAATTCACTGGATGACTTTGAACTACTTATTCTCTCAGCCCAATGTACCTCCAGGAATTGCTGTTATGGGGATAATTAATACAGGTGTAATAGAAATGAAAATACCAATACTAATAATTCCTCTCATTTCTTTTATCTGTTTTGTTTGTTGGCAGCAGACTATATTAATAAGTTGCTTTAAAAATGTTCACTCTAATTAATCACAATGACGTAGGCTGCCATGGTGTTTATATTAGTTAGAAAGACAGAATAAATACATTTTTAAATAAATAGTTAGCTACCTGACAGTGGAATCTGATGATCCAGTGATGATTACTCGCTCGTCATACTGGAGACAAAGGACTGACCCAGTGTGTCCAGTCAGAATCCTCTGGCATTCTAGGGTATTTCTGTCCCAGATCTAGGAGAACAACAGAACACTAAGATTTTATCACAAAATAACAGACTGTACTGCTATATTGTCTCTTCTGTTTCCTGCAACACAGCACTTTCTTTACTAAGGCAAACAGAACTTCTTTAAGTAGCACACAACACACTTTGTATTCCACAGGCACTTTGGAGCAATATAAACTATCCTTAATATCTCTGTTTTTAATATGAACATCGTATTTACTCTTCTCATTAGGGAACAGAAAGACTTTAATTACTGAAGGACCAATAATATGGTTAGCCATGAATATAACACAAGAAAATGAAGCTGATATTATAGATGTATCCTCCTTATTTGAAACTGATAAAAGAAAATCAATATATTTTTTTAAGTCAAACTCTGCTGAGATAGGGTATGGAAAAGCAGCTAGTTTTTCCTCATGCATTTCCTCTTCCAAATTAAGTTACACCTCACATTCTTTTGAGGAATAGGTCAATTCCATTATTATGCTGGCATTCTCTTGCAGAATAGATTTTGTATTCCATAATTGCACACCGGGGAACTCTCACCTTGATAGTATTGTCTCTTAGACCACTCACTATTTTCTGATCATCATACTGTAAACAATAAACACCTTTGCTAGTTTCACTCCTGCAGTGGATTCTTTCTAAGCTGTGCCTTCCACAACGCCAGTTTGATTCTATCGTCTGGGGAAGAGAGGAAAAACAATTTTAAAGTGTGGAACAAATATCATGGAAATTTTACACTGCTACACTCATGGGACAAGAGAAGAGGCTTTAATGCTGAGCCTATTTATCATTAGATACTCTCAAATGTTTTCCCTCCCAATCTTTAGCTTTCACAATGTATTAAATCCTCCTAAAATTTCACTGTCATTTCTAAAAATCAAAAGCACCAACTATCAAAAATATAGTATTGTTAATGTAGGGTATGCATGGCAAACTGACTTTTATGTACTTTTAAGATCCACGTCCTTTCTCAATACCTGTAGTCTTAAAAATGTAGAATATAAATGAAATAATAAATAGGGAATTTGACAATTCTCATATTTTCCATTTTTTATTTACAATAAGCATGGAAAAATTATTGAAGTATATATCATTTATGTAATTTTATTCACAATTATAAGGTTGTTCTGGTTATATATTTCTAATTTTCACTCCAATTCTAAATCAATTTCTTAATACTAAAGTAAGAGTCTGGAACAAAGGCTCTTCTTGGTCTTTGAGTTGCATGCTGGGAACCCCAGCACAAAAAATGGACATAGCCAAGGCAAACTATTATTGTGATTATTTTCCATTTTTAGTAATTTGCCATACTGACATAACAAAAACAAAATTTAAAACATTTAAAGAGGCTTTGAGAGTTGCACCTATTTACTTAACATTTACCCAGTTTAACTCCGAGAATGCCTGAAGAGAAAAATGATCCCAGTTATCTTGTGACCTGGTCATTTGGAATGAGACAACCCAGTGTGGCCATTTTGCTGCAGCCATCTTACGGTGGCCAACTTGCCACGGGACAATTCCATGCTGGATAACTCAGTGCGATATTATCCACCACTATTTCTTCTACATTTTTTCAATTGACAAAAATGGAAATAATGCAGAAGAAACAATGGCGGATAACATTTATCACATTGATTTATCTTGTGTGGATTGTCCCGTGGTGAGTTGGCTGCAGTGAGTTGTTCTAGACCCTGGCCATTAGTAATCCGTCTACCAAACTACCTAGTTTTAACCTGCCTCACTCTGTCTGGACAAAACTGAACAGAATTAGATGTGACACAGGAAGAAATGTCTTTGGCCTCTATCAATGGGGATGGAAAGATTCCCCTTGGTCTGATTGTGGTGCTGATACAGTATGCAAATTATTAAACACATTGTGCAAAACTCCCCATGACGTGCGTTCTCTGGTTCTTTAGAAGATTTGCACGAAGTAATGACAAAGACGATTGCCTGGATAGCTGAATTGGATATCCAGTTATGAGGCCGCTGCCACGGCCCCATAGAAATTTTGTACATAATTACATGGATTGTGTGTACATGTTTACTTCTCTTTGCCAAGTTTTTGTCATAAAATAAAAAGTTGCACCTAAAAATTTGAGAGGCCACAGATTGTGTATGCCTGGACCAAAGTATCTAAACACTGCAATGAACAGAGATACTAATTATAAATTGATCTAGCCTACAAGACATATAAGTGATTCAAAAGCAAACTAATGCATGTTTATGTGAAGTAACATATGATTTTTAGGAAAATGTATAGGCTATATATTCCTTTTTAACTCTATGCAAACGCATATCGCATTTGGCTGGATGTAGGAAAGTCATAGAAGCATTCCAAATGAGCCCAAATTAAGGATTTATACCCCATGCTACCCAGCTACTTCCTTCATGTGTTTCCTCTGATTCTTACCTCTATATCTTGTATAATTTTGGGATAAAGTGCTCTGTAGAATGAATTTGGTGGTATTATCCCATCAGGTGGTTTGTTTCTAAAAATATATTGTCCCCTTAAAGAAAGATATGAAATATTATTAATTTCAGTTGTCTAATTTAATTTTGTACAAGGTTGTTTAATATTTCAAAGATTCCAACTGCTTGGTAAAGAGAAAGTTTATTATAAAAAAAATAGAAAAGATGATTTATTTTCCCCTTTAATACTGCCTTTTGTAATGGGGCAATTGCACCAGGAAGAACATACCTAAGCATTTTTCTCAGCAGATTATGAAGAAAAAAATAACGGAACTGTTGGAAAAATACCTACAGGTGTCAGTTTTGATAAGGAACACATCTCTGCTAGTTGTCACTGGACAATAGGGGAAATAATTTGCTTTAGCGTTAAAACTAGTGCTGTAGGTCATAAATGCTTTATGAGAAAGTTTCAAAACTTTCTTTCCACAGAGACTTTGATTTTCTTCTAGAAAACTGATGAAAAAATATGCACTATGGATGCCAGCTTCCAAAGGTTAAATTCAGTGATATGCAATGTGTGGTGTGAAGACCTCATAAAACATCCCAGCACTTTCTTTTCAGGACTGCCTCAAAACTGTATCATTGAAACTGAGGAACAAGCTCCCACACTATGACAACAAATGTTTCTTATTTTAAAATAAACAAACAGTACAAGTAATTCTTGACTTACATTATTGAAAAACTGCACTTATGACTCATGCCTGAAGTTATGGCCATTGTAGTACCTCTCTGTTCATGGGTTCAAAACTCAGGCAACTGGCAGCCTGCCTGCACTTATGACCACAAAGGTTTTCCGTCTCCTCAACCCACCTATTTTCCCCCACGTCTGCCCTTTGGCCATCCTGCACTCTATCTTGTGAGTTAACAAACAGCCTCAGAAAACCACAGCCACCCCAGCCCAGTCCCAGCAGTTGGCCACATCACCCTATACTCTGAGATCCCTACTGCCCTGTGCTTCGACTCCACAGCTCATCTTCTCCATTTTCTTGTTCCTGCTGCTGATGAGACATGCTTGGCCTGGCTGCTGGGCCGAGGTTCAGCTGCAGAAAAAAAAAAAAAAAAAAGAAGCCAAAAAGCACTCCCTGAGTAGCAAATGTGCCAAAAACGCCCTTTGTAAAAAAAAGTGGGATGCACCAAAATGCCCCTTTCTATATTCATAAAAATCAGCCATGGATCAGGATGAGAAAGAGAACAGCTAGAGATGAGAAGGCCCCTCACAAGATGACAGGAAGCCAGATAGATTTTGGCAGGGCAAGAGTTAATCTCTGAGACACCTCTCTTGCCCATCGTTCCACTCTGTTTTCCTGGCTACCAGTCTCATGGTGGATGAAGCAGTAGGCTGGAGATGGGCATGATGCATGGGACAACATAAGTTCTTGGCATGAAGACCAGGTGAAATGAATGGGCGCTGTCATTAAACTCATCTGATTGACGGGTGCTTTGAAGTCATCTTTTCCAGCTCAACATCAAAGAACAGAGATCAACTGAAGAATGTATGGCAGGGCAGCTATGCCCAAAGCGACATTTTGGCACACCAAGCTCCAGGAACTTTTTACAGAAGAGTATTTTAGTGTGTTGCCACTCAAAGATTACTTTCAGCTTTTTTTTTCTGCATCTGAAGCCTAGCCCGGCCCAGCAGTTAGGCTGAGCCAGGCATACCTTGTCAGCAACGGGAGCAAGAAAATGAAGCTGAGCTGGGATGATGCAGCACAGGGCAGCAGGGGTCTTGTAGTGCAGGATAGCAAGGCTGATCGCAGGTGGGATTAAATTGGTGTAGGTCACAGCTTATTGGAACATGGCAAACAGCTCCAGAGCCACACTTCTGAGGCTGCTTGATGAGTCACAAGGCAGAGTGCAAGTTGGCCAAAGGGCAGAGATGAGGTGAGACAGGTTGGGTAGGGTGAATTGGACGCAGCCTCTTACCTTACTAAGGCTTGGGGCTGGGAGTGACCAGGACCACAATGGCGTTGACTAGTATAGGTAGTCACTTAAGAACCCATAATTCACGATTAACAACTGCAGTGGGGCATGCTGGGATTGCCATTGTTGTGATCACTTTACAACTGCATCAACATATGACATCAATCCCAGTCCCAACTGTGACTGAGGACTACTATAAAATGGATATATTAAGCTTCTAATAGAGTGTATGTATGTATGTGTATATATAAACATAAACTCTATTAGAAACTGAGAAACACTATTCTGCAATTTTCTCTAGACTGGCTTTAAAAAATTACTCAGATTGCCTCTATTACCACAGGGACATTTGAATAAGAGATCTTAAAATGAGAGTGACATCAGGAGAGAACCTTGGTGAGCAGCATATTCTTTACAGTACAATTGTTTTGAGGCCAAGCCCTATAGTAAAAATTATCAGTCAATTCACACAGCCTTACAAATACATTTTACTGGATCTTCTAGCTATTGGTAAATAGCATGGTTTCTTCTTTGAACTGATCTGGTTTTGGAATGAATGTGTTTTAAAGAGCAATGGGATCAAATGTCTCCAGTGGCATAATTTTAAATATATTCCCATTTTAAAATTAAGAGGCTACCCAGTACTGTGCAGAAACAAAGAACTCCACAATGGACATTTTTATGTCTGCAAAACTGAGGTGGACACAAATCTGTAAATACAATCCTGGCATCTGATGTATGACATTTAAATCTCTACTCTCCCTTTTATAACTGTCTTATAATTTGCAGACCAGTTTATTCCATGTATAAATCTCTTCCTTCCTATAGCCTTTGAAACTGTATTAAGAAGCTTCTTTGTACATGAGATGATCTGACACATGCAAGGTATCCTGTTTAAAAAATTACAAGAGTGGTAAAAATCTGGATAAAACAATCCATTAAAAACTTCTAATCTTAAATTTCCCAAAATACATTTTGTGAATTGCAAGGTCTTTACTGATGTGAAGAACATTAGTAAACAGAAATGTTGGGATTTCCTGAAAATATATTAGTAAATAAAACATTCAGCTAGGTTACAAAATGATTTATCACCAACATATTTTCTACATATCATATTGGATATATGTTATTTTACATCTTGGGCTTTTGACAGCTTATTACTATTTTACATTTTCATGCTGGGAAGTAGAAACTACAGAAGACATGCTACTTGATTATTCCTTTGTAACTATAATGAATCAGTTTTGTTAAATCTACTAACCAACTGATAAAAAAATTAAAAAGATAGATTAAGGAAAGAAACACATGTGGTTTAAAAATCATATAAAAGCAACTGTGGACTGTGTAGGTAGCTTTCAAAGAGAGAGAGAAAAACAATTTACTGAGAAATTAAACAGAATGAAATAATATGTGACACAGGGGCACTGACCCTGATCAGATTTCAAGCTGTCTGCATTTCTCTAGCAAAGAATAACATTTTTCAAACCTCCATTTGTTGTATGTGTGTAGCTCAGCAATCTAAAAGTATTTGCTTTGTTATATAGTAGCAAACATACCTCTTGCCTTAATAGTTGTTTCTTCTAAGGAGAATCAAAGAGAGGATAGTGATATAACCTAGGTAAATATTAATTTACAACCCACTTTCTAAGGCTAAAGAAATGTTTTTTTTAATCCCATGGTTGGCACAGAACTTTAGGAAATAAATTTCTAATATTATCAGAAAACTGTTAGAACCTGTTATTGCTCATTTTACTGCTTGATGTGTTGTCTACATATCATTAAGATCTCCACAAATGGAATCTGATTTAATTCTTAAACTAAACCACATTTCCCTATACTAAGTTTTGAAGATGCAAATAATGGTAATTGTCATGTCTGCTGTTAAAAATACCATGAAAAAAGGCAATTTGGGTGTACACTTGCTATTAAAACTGGGTGCAGAGTTGCACTTTAGAATATTTCACAAGCATTATTTTTTTTCTTAATCTATTGAACGTCAACATATTAATGGCATCGAGGCTTTTTAAATTCTTTTAATAGATTTTGCACTTGCAAATTGTGGCAGTATTATTATTATTATTTAAATAAATAAAAGCTAAAATGCCTTGGCTATCACTTTGTCTTGTTTATGAAATATTTATATCCAAATATCTCACAGAAAACTATGGAGGCCCAATGAATAGAAAATTGTATATTAAAGGGGTTATCCCAGGAGGGAAGCATCTAATAAAATGTTAATAGTAGAACATCAGACTTGGTCCTGCATATGAAATAGATGATGAATACTATCTGAATTTTAGATGCTAATTGCTTAGTAGTGAGTATTCCAGTTTTTATGAGCAAAGATTACATTTCCAAATGCAAAGGTCTGTTTAAAAAAACCCAAATGATATCCTATTCATAACATAAAATCTATTTCTGAGTTCTAGAAATTTGTTTACTCTTTATATGGTAATTGGATTTTGATTATTCTTTAGGTATGTGTCACAGACTGATCTTAGTTATAGGATGGAAGAATATTATACCTCACTGATTTTAATATATATGCATCCCACCACTCAAATCCCTAAAAGGTGTTACATCTATTTGTTACACTGGTTTCAAATGGTGTAATATGAGAACTGTAAAGTGTAATAGGCTCAGTTAAATCCTGTGGTGCATTCTTTGCCTTTCTGCCTCTAGGCTAGCAGATGAAATATCTCTGGAGAAAAGTGCTAGTTGAGAAGAAAAAAGTGCAGTTAAAAAAAAAGATGAGCTCTCAGGTGTTTTGACAGAATGGTGCATCTCTGACATTAGACAAATCTGATAAAAAGGTCTCCATGTCATCTATATGGCAATCCACTCTCAGTGCTGGATCCAGATTTTGATCCTTTAAGGGCAATGAAACCTTTTCCAAAAGAGGCATGCCAAATCCTACAGATTCTGGATATGAAGTGGCCATAAAGGGCCAATAAAATTTCTGTGCTAAGAGAAAAGATTTTCCCACCAAATATTTGAGTTCTGGTTCGGAGAGAAACTACTTTAATGAAGCAGCAGCAGCTGACAGAATGACCACCAGGAAACATAGGACCAATAACTAGAAAATAATGGGAACAGAGATGACTTTTCAGAGTCATCTGAAAAGAAAAGCACTAAAATTACTGTCTATAACAGAAGGAAGCCGTGCAGTGGGGACAGCTGAAGTCCCACCATAGCAATACTAGGCCAGTATTGTTAAAAGACAGCACAGAGGAACCTATAATAGTAATAATAATAATAATAATAATAATAATAATAATNTGGAAGGGACCTTGGAGGTCATCTAGTCCAACCCCCTGCTCAGGCAGGAAACCCTATACCATTTCGGACAAATGGCTGTCCAGTCTCTTCTTAAAAACTTCCAGTGTTGGAGCATTCACCGCTTCTGGAGGCAGGTTGTTCCACTGATTAATTGTTCTAACTGTCAGGAAGTTTCTCCTTAGTTCTAGGTTGCTTCTCTTCTTGATTAGTTTCCATCCGTTGCTTCTTGTCTTGCCTTCAGGCACTTTGGAAAATAGCTCGTGGCAGCCCCTGAGATATTGGAACACTGCTATCATGTCCCCCTTCGTCCTTCTCTTCGTTAAACTAGACATACCCAATTCCAGCAGCCGTTCCTTATATGTTTTAGCCTCCAGTCCCCTAATCATCTTTGTTGCTCTTCTCTGTACTCTTTCTAGAGTCTCAACATCTTTTTTACATCATGGTGACCAAAACTGGATGCAGTATTCCAAGTGTGACCTTACCAAGGCATTGTAAAGTGGTATTAATACTTCACGTGATCTTGATTCTATCCCTCTGTTAATGCAGCCCAGCACTGTGTTGGCTTTTTGGGCAGCTGCAGCACACTGCTGGCTCATATTTAAGTGATTGTCTACTAGGACTCTGAGATCCCTCTCACAGTTACTACTATTGAGCAAGGTACCCCCTATACTATACCTGTGCATTTGGTTTTTCTTGCCTAAATGTAGAACCTTGCTTTTTTCACCATTGGATTTCATTTTGTTAGATAGTGCCGTGTTCAAGTCTGTCCAGATCCTCCTGTATCTTAAGCCTGTCTTCTGGAGTGTTGGCTATTCCTGCCAGCTTGGTGTCTCTGCAAATTTGATGAGTTCCCCATCTATCCCCTCGTCCAAATCGTTGATGATGTTGAAGAGCACTGGGCCCAGAACAGAGCCCTGGGGCACCCCACTACACACTTCCCTCCATGTAGATGCGGTTCCATTGAGGACCACACACTGACTACGGCCGGTCAGCCAGCTACGAATCCATCTAGTGGTGATGCTGTCTAACCCACATTTTTCTATCTTATCGAGTTGTAGGTTGTGATCTACTTTATCAAATGCCTTACTGAAGTCCAAGTAAATTATATCCACAGCATTCCTCTGATCCACTAATTTTGTCACTTGGTCAAAGAATGCAATAAGATTTGTCTGGCATGATCTGTTTTTGACAAACCCATGTTGGCTTTTAGTAATGACTTTGTTTGTCTCTAGGTGTTCGCTGATTTGTTGTTTGATTATCTTTTTCAGAATCTTCCCATGGTATTGAGGTCAGGCTGATAGGTCTGTAATTTCCTGGATCCATTTTTTTCCTTTTTTGAAGATGGGAACTACATCAGCTCTTTTCCAGTCCTCTGGTAGTTCCCCAGTGCTCCAGGATCTTTGAAAAATATAGTTCAGTGGTTCTGAGATCACATCTGCCAGTTCCTTGAGAACCTTGGGGTGTAATCCATCTGGTCCTGGTGATTTGAACTCATCTAGGCTGGACAGGTGCTCACTTACCAT